GAAGCGAATATTCGGTACAGCTCTAATTAAGACAGACTACGAAATACGCCTTGCCAAATCATAGAGAGATGAAACCAAGGAGGAAATACCCGGAAAGAAAAGGCAAGAAGAACACAGCTAACAATTGGACAGAGAACAAGCGGTCTGACTCGAAGGAAGGAAGCATCAAGCCCAGACACGGCGCAAACACTGAAACTTTAGTCACGACAGTGACGCAAATAACCCAGACCACAAATATAGGCTGAAACTGTTAGCAGCCTCGGCAAGCTAGCAGCAGTCTGAAAGTGGTCGACCTTTTTTAATTTTTTTTTTTAAAGGAATCAGAATTAAGTGAGCAGTACAGAACTAATCCAATAGTTACAGGAACATTCGTACTCAACAATGGAGACATTTTGAAGACTATTTATGAACGATTGCTGATAGAAGTTACAAGGTTAGCTTGAATAACATGTGTAAGAATGTGTGAACGAGCAATCAAGTGTTGAACAGGCAAGGAGGGACCCTGCGAGGAAGAGAACAATGAGTTTATAATCAAGTGTGCTACGAGATTAGTTAGCATCTACACCTAAAGACAGGTATGAGGGCCAATTGGGGCATATCTGTGTCGCCATGAGGGCCAAAAGCAGCAACTAATTTAGGTCATTTAATACAGTTTCTTGCAGCATAGCTCCTTTGTGTGGACCGCGAGTGTGCTTTCAAAGGGTCAAATGCGGTCGGCGGGCCGCCAGTGTGCTTTCAAAGGGTCACATGCGGTCGCGTGCCGCCAGTGTGCTTTCAAAGGGTCACATCCGGTCGGCGGGCCGCCAGTTTAAAATGCCTGCCTTAGGGCATTTGCGGAAGACGAAGCACCTATGGGCCTATAGGTATGCCCGGTATGTTATGATGACGATTCTAAAATCAGTAAATCAGTGTTTCATACGAACTCTATTTTTCACCTCATTAGTGTTTTTAGTTAATATGTTTATTCGTTTTAACTTCATTTAGCATAATCATATCCATTTCCAATTATCATCATCATCATCATCATCACCATGATTTCATTTTGCTGTCTACACATCACAGATGAGGAGCGGCTGACCGTGCGGATACCAACGTCTGGCTCTCATGTGGGAGACCCGGGTTCGACCCCCCCCCCCCCCCCCAGTAAGGTGATGGGTTTTTGTTTGTTTGTTGGTAGAGATTAAAACACCCTAACCTGTACAGTCCGTGGTGACAACACTGGCTAAGCGGCCCCAAAACCTTAGGCTCAAGACCCCCTATCAAAACCACCCTTAAAAAAAGAGGTACATACAGACAGTAGTGACAGTTTAAACATTACACATGGGCTTCATTCTGTTCATTGACAATGGCGGTTACATTTTCGTCAACATAATTCGTTAACACCGCCCTTGCACAAGTCATCACACTAACTACGGTACTCTTATCATTGAGCTCACATCCTGCGGTTTTTGTTGTTGTACCAACGTAAGGTCTTACCGGCCTGTTGCCTGATAACCCGTTGTTTGTGTGACCTATTTCTCTGTGTGCTAAGCCTGCACTTAAGACAACATCATAATAAGACGTTGTTGGGTGAGTCATTTCTAGAGTGCGGTCATTGATGTGTTATTTTTTCTTCAAAAGTACTTAACAGTATTTTCTTCAGCCTTGGCAAGATATGCATGCGTGGAGGAAGAGTTAATTAGGGTTAATTAGTTTGTCAAAGAGCGGCTAGTCGAGTGGTTACAACGCTGGGTTCTCCTGCTGGAGACCTGGGTTCACAACCTTGGCGAGGTGTACATGTTATCTGTCTTAGACTGTACAGTTTGTGGCGACTCAACTAGACACCTTCCTGTAAATGCTCGGGCTCAAGACCCGATCCCCTGGTCCGCCCTAAACAGCGTTCATTTTCTGTGCAATCCTTTCCATATCATTCGATGGAATCCAGACCAGCACCGTTGGCCTCTCTGATCAACGTTCGTTTTACTGTTTCTTTGTCTTTACCCCTAAGACCCCTTAATTTCCCATTAAAGTGCCTGTTTTGGTGATTTTATGTTCATTTCTTCTCAGGAATATATATTGGTTCATAATTAGTTCACGTTATCACCCCTCTCTTAATTTATAAACTTCATAAAGATAAATATGTTTTGCGAGTGATTCTAGCGTAGACATGCATTATAATCCTCACCGGTGCTATAGAAGCTCGGGCCATATACTGAAATTCTTCTGTCATCAATTTGTGTAGTCCGTGGCACAGAGACGGAGAATAACAGAACTTGTTGAGCTGGTTTAAAGCTTCGAGGGGGGGGGGGGGAGTGGAAAAGGGAAAAAAAAAAAAGCAGCAGCAGAAAAAGGAGAAGAAATATCACTGTTTTTTTTTTTTTTTTAGTCTGCTTCTCTGTTTTACCCAGGGGTTTGTGTTTACGGTTTCTCGGTTGAAAAAGAAAGGGGGGTAGCAACTTGTTGTTTTGACGGCAATATAATTTATAAATAAAACAAACCGATTAGGGCGAAAGTCTTCGAAAAATTACCTTAAAAAAAATTGCTCGTTCACTAGACATTTCGTGTTTGAGTCATCTTCCCTACTCTTTATTTTACCTACTTGGTTGTTATCTCGATCGGGACAAATAGCTTCTATTGTTTAACTGCAAAATAAGTTATAAAATTAACCGGTCTTGTTCGATTAAGTCTTCGAAAAGTTAACTCCAAACTAAAAACTATCCGTCTTCTTACAGAATAATTTACGTGAGACATAACATGTTTACGAAGTTCGACCAACATGCTTCATGGTCATGTCCCAAATCAAGAGTAACCTGCGCGACCGAATTCTCTTTGCAAAGGTGTTACTTGCCTGGGTTCATGTAATGACGCGGCGTAAAGCCGGGCTAGCTTAAGCCCTTCTCCCAACAAGATAACGCGTGCACACTATACAACTACCGACACCTCACAAAGCGGTAACAAAGAAATGCGCCATGACTCACAACAATCAGCTGATCGCGGCATGGATCGCCTTGCACTGCACTGTTCGTATGTTTTCTTGTAATCTTGTTAATTATGTTTGGTAAATTTACGTCTTTGAGATATAAAAATACTTAAAAACTCAAATGATCTTTCACATAATTTTTATTAATAATTGCATTACTCATTAACCTAAATAGTTAATAGCAGCAAGATAGTTATCATTTAATTACTGTCTACACAGCTTTCAAGGTGACACTAGTAAAACGGTTATACTATCCTTTCGATCTTCGCCAAGGACCTTTGGTGAACTTGTTTTTGCCGAGGAACTAGGGCAGCACGTGAACAGCGAGTGTTCCTTGGTCCCTATATAGCCGTGGCCAGCTGTGGTGTCCTCAGCCATAACCGAGCGCTAACCGAGCAGACAACGACGACCACGGAATTACGAGTTACTTCAGTATCTTCACAGTTGTTCAACCTGTGTTTTGTTATGTAAGTTCATCTGAGGACAGGGATAAGATTAACAGTTTCTGTAGATTTGAGAGTATACAATAACAATAGCTGGCTTGCAGTCGGTTAGTTTTGGATCTGATCTGTTTTTAGCTGACCGGGCATACTTTATATTTCCAATTATAGAATCATTATAATAATTAAATGTGCAGTTATTTAATTGTTTAAAATAAGTATTTAGTAGTATTGTGTAATTAAAAATATGTATACGATTGATGAGGTTAGCTGGATGACGTAGTGTTTTACATAATGGTTGTATCGGCTCCCTCAGATGCATAACTCTTGGGTGCATTAATATTGTTAAGGAACGTTGTTTGTAAAGAAAATAGTATTAAAATATAGTTGGATGCCTTAAATGTTTTGATTTTAATTATGTTGAATGTTTAAGTTAGGTCTGTAGGTAATGACCTCACTGACACACCAATCAAACTGCTAAGCAATCTTGACTTGAATATTCTTATCGTAAAACTCATTTCCCTAAATGGCATAATTGCTACATTTATAAAGTAAACAAGTTAGCTGTTGTCCGTTCTCTATCAAACCTTTTGGGTACCAAGCAATTTAGTAAAAGTACCAAGCCTGAATTTTTACTTACTACGCAAGCAAGCCTATAGAGTATTTTCTTCAGTCCCTCAGCACTATTTTTAACAGCATAAGATCTCGACATTCTAATTTTAGTGGTCTAGAAAAAAAAAGTGGATATTGCAAGCGACTTGAATTAAAATTAACCATAGTGCAAAGACGGTACGAAAAGTACAATCTTGGAGCCGGTAGAAAGTTCTATGACCTCATTAACTCAGCTGTTTGTACGCAACGTGACCGACCAAGGTCAAGGGATCACGGCACGCAGCTGTGCTAGGGTTCAAGGCTGCTTCTCTAGGTTCTCATTGGTTAGCGGCGCCGAGGTGCCCTTGCATAAATTAACCGGGATAATTAAGTGGTTGGACTGTAAAATAACGGTCACAAATAAGGTCGTTAAAGTATATTTATAGTCTGGTACTTTCCCACCCCTATATTGTGTAGTGTCACAAATAAGTTCATTAAACTATATAAAGCCTAGTGCTTTCTCACCCCAGTACAGCTGTACATTAAATATATTGCTTGTTGCACATTAGATATTTTGTAAGTTTTTAAGGTGTTATTATTAATAGTCCTGTCAGTAGTCAGTTCCTGCTGGGTTCCCTATATTTTGCTCTGTGGGTTCCAGTAAAAGTAGTTTCTAGTTATACAGATAACGGTCTCTCTGTGTATTATGTATCCAGCATCAGCACTTTTTTCTTTGGAATTTTGATGTCTGTCAGTAAGCTCTTCATTAGTGATTCTTTTGTATATTTTTTTTTTCTGCACAAGCATGAAACTAGTTAACATTTTTTGTTATTAACAGTTCTTTTGACCATTCACCATTTTCCTGATCCCCATACAACAATTCTGATTTAAAACTAGTTAAATATTCTAGTTTCAAAATCCATTAATAAATAAATTTATTTTATAGCATCCACCATCCAGACAGCATAACTTAACCTCTTATTTATTTTCTTACAGATCAAGTCGCAAAAATGATTAGAGCAGAACTCAACGAAAATGAGCTGGAAGCCCTCAGAAGACTGGGCGGCGACCCAATCATTCAGTCCTCAGATTTCCAGTCCTCAGATTTCCAGTCCTCCTCCTCCTCACGTGTTAATTCATCAGTCATTGATGAAGCCATTTCCTCTATGCCCATACCCGATACGCCGCAGTCTGGACTAACAGTCAAGGTAATTAGTCTTACATCACCATTTGTTCATTGTTAACCCTGGGTAAACCTGGTTATAACATTTCCCTAGAGACTATTGCAGATATCTTTTCCACCTATGAAAGAACACAAACCAGCATGATAGTTTTTGAAATGTCATATTTGTGGGAAAATGTATAGGATGTAACATCCCTGGTAGGTTCCTTGACCTTGTTTTGAGAGAAAAAAATAATACCCCACTGCCCTTTCACAAGTATGTCAGAAAAGGCGACTTAATTAGGGGTTTGCTGAAAGTATTTGTTGATAGGCACATATTATCGACTAGCTGTACGCACTTAATACAGTGCATTTCCAGATCCTTTCCGATGCAACGGAGTTCGTACAGTGCGCTGAAACTCGGGCTTGAGTTAGTAGAATGAAGCACTTATGGGTTAAACACCAGTGTGCTATGATATTGTTCTGTTGAATAAACATAAACTTAACAGTGTGACAGCTGCCCATTTTGGGGCAAACACCGAAGGATGTAACCCTGTTATGATTCGGCACACCACATACTGACTTAGAATTAGGCCTAGGCTTGGTAGTGCTTTATCCATCTTTTTTTAAAAGACCCCCAAGGATGACAAGATTTTTTTTTAACGGCAGAACATCTGGGGGAGAAGGCAAGGAAAAGAACAAGAAAAAATAATGATAAATATTGCAGCGGAGACCTACATAAAGATGATTAAATCCATCACCCAAGCAACCTGAGAAGCACACGACAGAAAACCATAACACTAGGCTAAGGCCTGGTGTTGGTAAGAGCTATGGTGAGATTGATGCAGAGGGGAGTGACGAGAGGAGAGGTTCTGGCAGATGCTCGAGGCTTAGAGGAAAGGCAAGACGGACGTTTAATCAGAATGCTACTGGCACCATTAGTATCGGAACTCTTCGCTGGCTGCTGAAGATAGGGACGGAGCGCTTATGGGAATGCCCCGAGTTCTGTGATGTCAGTTCTTGAATATAATCAGATCAAATAGCTAGATATTTCCAAAGTACTTGTATCTATGAGACAAAAGAAGATAGATCTATCGTAATACTTGTAACATTTTTGTTTTAAAGTGTTCTTCTTTACATATTGTCTTGTAATTCCACAGGTTTGCTATGTTGGTGCATGTTTTAATGAAAACCAAGTCAAACGCAAGCTGAAACCTAAATTTCCTGGCACCGAAGTGGCAGGAATCATTCATGAAGTTGGAAACAATATTCCCAACTCAAACTACATGCCAGGTGACAGAGTTATCATCGTTCCCGATGAGGCTATTATCAGTTCTGGTTACAAAGAGTACATTCCAATTGAAGATCCATCAAACGTCATTCAGGTTCCACAAAATGTACCACTTGAGGTTGCAGCCATGTTGCCAGGAGGGGCACTGACAGCCTTTGCTGCAGCAAGCTGTGCCAGGAACCATGTAGAAAGACTTCAGAAAGTTAAATGTAAGTATAGAACATGTTGACTATGAAGGCTTTGAGCATTCCATTATATTAAAATATAAATGGGTGTTGTAAGCAAAATGCACGTCCCATAGTGGTTGGGTGGTGAATGTTTGGCTTTCACCAGCTCCAGGTCATAACATTTTGTGTAAGCCATCATTTTTCTTCCTTTTTATCATTCCTTCCCAGAACAAGAATAACAAATTGTAAATACGCAGAAATAATATTTACAGAGGGCTATGGTAATGAGATCAGCATGAAGAAGGAATAGGCGCTATAAACATAGTAAATGAAATGAGGGCATTACACATCAGTTTACTGGTGTGTGCCTGATATTTGATATGTAGCAATTTTATTTAGGAGTTTAATAATTTTTTTATATTAAATTCATACCTTTATTTTTTGAGGTTTTATTTACCCGACCTGAAATTGAAAGCTTTTTTTAAATATAAAAATAATTTAAAGGTTTTTTATTCTTAGTTTATTAAAAAAAATTTTTTTTTCTCTTCCATTATTGTGCAGCTTTATTTTATTTTAAAATTATTTTTTATTATCTTTTTCAGCATGTGTCAATGTGTTGATTGTCGGAGCTGGTGGGCTGGGACTATGGACCATCAGGTTGGCCAAGTACCTCTTGGGGGACGACTGCAGCAGTGTCCGCATTTTTGTTGCCGACAACAGTATTGATAAGCTGTTACTGGCACAGGAGCACGGCTGCTACGACATAATTCACTGGAATGAAGAGGATCATGAGCAGTACATCCATGAAAGGACGCTTGATGCCTGCAGGGGCGGAGTTGATGTCATCATTGACTACGTTGGCTCCCACAGAAGCATGCAGAGATCACTGACAGTTCTTAACAGAGTAAGTATCACCTCCGTGAATGCGTCCTCATTGATATTTCTACATGCACCACTGATAGTTGCTGATACATTATTGATAGTGTTGGATTAGCATAAACCAGCGGCATAAAATAATTGAATAATAATCAACAAGAGAATCAGAAAAATGCTAAATAGACACAGAAATGCAAAATAAATAGATTTAGAAAAAAAAAAAGACATCCAAGAGCGTTGTTAAGAGAGAGCAGGGGAGGGAAGCTGGACTGAATTCCACTCATGATATCCATATGGTTTGCACATGATAGAATAAAATGGGTTAGACTGTGCTCTGTGTATTGGCATTACAGGATGATGATGATGAATATTTAAGATTAATGGGAAATGTTGACTGGTTTTGGGTGTTCAACGTATTATCTCACACACACATGTTTAAGGTAAATGATAATTTCTTTAGCTTTGACGTTTAGCTCCAGTCACTTATTTCTAAAGGCCATTCAAGCGGCATAATTCAGCTAGTGTCTTGTGAATACCTTTACTTCCCCGCTGGTGAGTTAAAGCTAAGAGGACCAACTGAATTTTACCAATTACTATATATGGCTGTCTTTTTCTACTATTCCGAAAATATTTCTTGGTACCTATTTTGAGTTGATTCGAAAGTCTAACTTAACTATAAAAATCCACTTTGACAGAGATTTGAACCTGATTGCCACCAGGTTGACAGGCAGGCATAAATAAAGCATAGCTATGGTTACAGCATGTTATGTTAGTTGAGTTACCATCCCCCCCCACCCCAATGCTTTTTACATGTAAAATTAGGGTCATCTTTTATACACAGAATGTGATTAAAATATTGATTTCCTAATAATTGTAGGATGAAAAAATGGGGGTTGTCTTTTACATAGAACAATTGTTTACCATACCATTCCTATGATGGAATACGAATAGTATGTCCACCTAAACAGTACTGAGAGAGAGAAATGGGGAGACAAGAGCTGAGGGAGATACTCATTTAACTTCAAAATATACCAATTAATTCATAATAAATGTACAGTGATAGGAAAGCCACAGTGTGTTAGTAGTTAGATGCTGACCACATCACCTTCAGAGTGTCATTTGGTATGTGAAATATAGATCTATGCCAAATATGCCTGCCAGAAAGCATTAAAAAACAGTCTTCTATATACTTATAAAATAATAGTGAAAGTCAATCTTCTAGTTGCTTATTGGCCTATTTTCACCTTATTGTTTCAGGAAGGAGTAATTATAGTGGGCGGTAACTCCACAGCAGATACCAATATCTCACTGAACGCACTTGCAGCAAAACAACAGAGCATCGTCGGCATTCCTAAGGGGAACGTTAATCAATTGATAGAGCTACTTAATGCTGTTGCAGATAAAAAAGTAAGTTGCCATAAGTTCTTCTTTCATTTAGAAACATTACATTTCCTGTGTGGGTTCAAGGGTCCCATTGTGGCGAAAACAAGAGTAGACGCACTGCCTCCCTAACAAGCATGTCTTAAGAGTCTTCTAATTAGGAGCTTCCTTTCAAGTTGGAATGCATTTACCTGAGAGGCAAGGTACCAACAATCTGCATACTAATAAGCCAGATCTGTTGAGCAGATGTGCATGCAAAATTCAGTTTCTGGAGCAAGACTAAGTCCAAAGTAAGTGAACAACCAGAACTTTCCTACAGAGTGTACATTCGGTGAACTATAAACAATAGCAAAAATGAAATGGTGATATTACTGAATATGTTTCGGTCCTTGCTATTTTTAATCGTGTATTTCCGTGCTGATAATGATAGTGACCGCCTGATGGTAAATGGCCGTCTTTTCCATATTTTTGGGTTCCAAGTTCCCATTAGGGGAAAGGGGTGGAGTGTTGACATACTGTCCCTTATTAAGCAGGCGTAAGATCTGACTAGTAAATCTCTTGTGTTTGGCTAAAAGTCACAGGTAAAACATCCTAGCTGCAAGCCACAACACAACTTGCCAAGTACGAAAGCAGAATAATTATTGCACACAAGGGGTTATATTCAGTATAAGGACTTCAGTATTCGTAAACCTAAGTTAAGCCAGAGCTGTAGCAATAGTAAAACATGCAATTTCACTTCAGATATAAGTACTGCACAGTGAAAGATAAAAACCGGAATAGTGGGGAAGATTCAAAGAATTTCACATCAATGCTTATCAAACGATATTTCTGTGGGAGCTAAAAACAGCAGAATTATTATTTTATTTAAATTAATTCAGTATGCAGTCTAAAATTTTTATGACAATGCCGCCATAACCTTTTGGCAGAAATATGGAACACAGACATAACCTTCTGACAGTGCATAATGAGCAAGACCTCTGTCCATAAATGTTAATAATTTACATCACAGCACTCGGGACACCCCCAAAAGTGCTCAATCCCCATCTTCAGCAGCAAGCGAAGAGTTCCATTTCCAATGGCACCCGTAACTGTCTTATTAAATATCTGTCTCGCCTTTCCCCTGAGTGTTGACCGCCAGCCAGAACCCCTTGCGGACTGTAATGATCTATCTGTGACTCCTCACTGTCAATAGCTCCCAAAAAAACCTTCACAACATCCAGCTTGTGATACATCACTTCACCACCAAGTGTTGCAAAACTGGCCAGTCTATCTACCTACTCATTTCCCAACACACTGGCAATACCTGGAGAAAATATCCAATCCAAACGATGCTAACTACCCGGGACCTCTAAAGTGATGCTTATCCCATAAACAGCTGCCAAAGCCAATCTGTAATAAATGTTTTCATAAGCAACCTAAGCATGAGGTTGTTAAGAAGCTGTGCTGCATTGATAGAAGACTTAGAATCTCCCCATGTGGATCCTAGGGTCCTATTGTGGGAATAACAGGAATAGAGGTACTGCCTACCGACTGACTGACTGACTTTCTACCCCACCAGGACATCACACAAGCGATAAACACCCGATGACACAAAGTGCCACCATGCGGATGAGGATCGCCGTGGAGAGGTCCCAGAAACCGAGTTCAGACATTTGGCCATATTTATGGCCTGCCTATATTGCGGCCCCTGGCAAAAGCCAGAGTAGGGCTTCAAATGACAAAAAATTTCGTCCTGAAAAGGACGAAACTGGATAAGTACTGCCTACCTACCCGACAAGCCTGTCTTAAGAGTTGCCTAATTAGGTGCTTCCTTTGAAGTTAGGAAGTTGGAGTACATCTGCCTAAAAAGCAAGCAAACAAGTCTACATACACATGAGTCAGATCTGTGAAATGATATGCATGCCAGACTCATTTTTTGGAACAAGTCTATGGTCCAGAACTGGACAAACAACTAGAACTTTAGGCCAAAGTTTACAGTTGGTGAATGCGAAGAAGAAGACTTACAAAAATGTTAATAAAAGCATTTTTGTTGATGGTAGCAAAATTTTCTTATTTTGACTTTACTTGTCTGTTTTCAGTTGGAAGTTCCACAGTACAAAGTTGTCCCTGTGGAAGATGCAAACCAAGTGTTTGAGGATCTGGCAGAAAGCAGAATCACTGGCAGAGTGGTGTTCAAATTTGGGTCACAGTCCAGTGAGCACATAGTGGACAATCATTGAAACTTTCCAGCACCAGACGAACAATATCTCATTCCCATGGACATGCTCTCAACCAGTATCAGATCTCATCCCGGTATATTTATCTCAGTGGAGAGGGTGCTGTCATTCAGCATGTTGTGGTAGCATAGCTGTGTGTTGGGAGGGCAACATTGCTGATTTGTACGCCGAGTATGGGTGTGGCGTGTGCATTTATTGATGAAACAGGTCCATCATCTTCATATCCCAAATCCAAGTTCAAGGGAAATAACTGAGGCCTAAGTTAAGTAGCCTATCATTCTTGGTGATTTCAAGAGACAAAACATGGGCTATCTCCTTTTTTGTTTGTCTCAGACAGTTGTCACTTCATTAATTTATATCTCAGTGCGTAAAAAAAATCTTGGGAGTAAAGGAGCTGAAATAATGCAACTGGAACAAAATAATGAGTTACAACTGGGATAAAATGGGTTAACATGAAAGAATGGCACAGTGTGAATTAATGTATAGTGTGATGGATAGACAGTGTTACCTGAAAAAGAGAAAATTATATGCATCTGAACCAAGAAACTGGAGCTTGAGAAAGCTTACGCTGGGATACCCTCAGAACTTGTAAATACTGATTCTGGCAAATGTCCAGCAAACAGCCAAGACTGCACTAAATGGCCTCTTCGTGTAAATCGATGATTTAAAACAAATAATGTAGCAGATGTTAAATAGTTGTTCTATCAAATGCTGTGATATGTTTTTCAAATGTGAAATCATTGTTTTCTTAAATGCTGCCATATATTTCATTTGTTTGCTTGTTGAGTAGTTGTGGCCATGAGCGACTATCAAAATACTCATATCATGCTGTAATTCTTGAAAGTTTGACTGGATGTTTTTTCCTTATTTAACTTTTCAATACTCAGTTTGGGAGGTGGTAGATAAGATGTTAAAACAGCAAACAAAGAAAATCGGTGGTTTATTAAGATGCTGTGGGCAAATGTTTGCTTGGTTTTGTACTGTTCTTGCAGTAGTGTAGTTTGCAGAATGTAGTAGAAATTTTGTAAAATTAGTTTGTAGTTTAGGAAATTATTTAAAGAAAGCTAGAACTAAGGGACTTCAGGTCTGATGATGAATGTGATATGGAATGGTTTTTACATTGTGAAGGAAGTGAGGTGAATCATTATGCATTGTGAAACAAATAAAGTGAAATTATGTATTGTGAAGAAAGTGAGGTGAGTGGTTATGTATTGTGAAGAAAGTGAGGTGAGTGACTATATATTGTGAAGAAAGAAAATAGGGTGAATTAAGTGAGGCGAATGATTATGTGTTGTGAAGGAAACAAGGTGAATGTGTACATTTTGAAGATAATGGGTTGAAAAATTGCAGAACGAAATGTTTGTTTTGATACATTTAATTGGTTGAGGGATAGTAAGGCATATTTGACCATGTTATACCATCAGGCATATGAATTTTGTTTTCAATGGATTTGCTGTTTGATTTAGAGGACACAGCTTATTTTATGCTGAATGTGTGTTAAAGAAAAACTGATTTGCTAATGGCATGAGGTGTTTCATACTGTACATCGAAGCTACCATTGTGAGGGCACACCAGAAGGAAATCTGTGCATCAGAATAGGGCAGTAAGTCAAATGTTAACAGAATTTAAGACTTGACAGTATTAAGGCCTTGGATAGATGAACAAAAAAAACAAAAAAAAAACTTATCAGTGGACAAACTTTATAATCTAAAGCAGAACTTTATGAATCACTTAAGTTTGTATACGGGGACAACACTGCAGATGTAGATAGTTTATTAGACACCCCCGCCCCCTCCCATCTATACTTTTTGTAATAATCAGTTGACAATTTCAGAATAGTAATTTTCACATGTGATGTGAAAGGTTCTTTAGGTATGAAGCTAACTAAAGTAGCAAATGGATGGAATTTTTGAAAGTGTTAAATATGTGTGTTTGATGTCATGACTGCTTGTGACTTTTGCATTGTAAATTTAATGAATGCCATGTCTAGTTTTTCAATAATAAAGTCGTTTATGTTGAACTTTTACATTTCATTGTTTATTAATTTTTCTTGAGAGTTTCGTCTATATAAAGATGTATTGAATTTGGTACCGTATTTGTAACTACATGTGCTGAGGTAGGTGGTTAAGGTAGTTGTACCCCACCAGGACATCATCACACAAGCGGAAAAACACCAAGTGACACAAAGTGCTACCATGCGGATGAGGATCACCAGTGAAGAAGTCCCAGAAACCACTTTCAGCTGTTAGGTCATATCAACGGCTAGGCCAAATCTGTACCCCCGCTTCAGCGCCCTGGCAGAAACGAGGCTGGGGCCATGGTTGCCATATTGGCATTTTTTATGCCAGATTCCACAAATTTGGCATATTTGAAATTGAACTGGCAGAAGATATAGAACTAGCATATTTGGATTTTTCCTGGCATTTCTTATCAAGATGTGCTCACATTTTCTTCATGGTTCCTCTGTTAGAAACATGCAGATTTACTAAAAGCAATGTAGACCTACAGTTAAAATCTTTATTTCAGTTTGACTTTGTTGTGATGTCCTGGTACTGACTAACGGAGATTCGCACCAGACTGCTCAGAAACTAAAGGTCAGAAAAAAAAGAGAGGATATAGACCTAGTTCTGTCTGTGATAGATTTTATTACTTTTACCAATGGCCACGTCATCCAATAAAATGGAAAGCATCTTATTACATCTCAAGTATAATAGTAACTGAAAGAAAACATACACATGGCTCAAAAGATCTTCAGACCAATCAGAGGCAGCATATTGTAAACTGTCAGTGCACTGTTTCACCAAGAATTAGTAGCATATCAAATAATAAAAAATCCGAAAAACCCAGGATAAAAACTGTCAAATAGTCAGTCACAGCTTATCACAACAATGACTCCTAGGCAAAGTAATGATAAAGTTAAAGGCAGCTGAGTTGCAACTTGCTGTAAGCATGACCTGCCATTGTGCAATATGCACATTTGATCATCTTAGTGAAATCATGAGAGCGCGTGGTCAGGGGAGTACATTGGAGCACATACAGTTGCATACAACTAAATGTTCATGCCAAATAAATACAAAAATATAGCCTGCACTAAAGGATGACCTTACTGTTGATTTTCGGAACAAGAAATTTGCCATCAGTATAGATGAATTGCAATGACTTCATCCCATCTGAGAAAATGCTCAAAGATTTTACACCCGAAAAGGTTTACGCTGTGTCTTCCATTTGTTCAGTGAGGATGACAGTGAAGAATTCAATTTAGAGCTTTTGATGTGAAGCGAGTACAATGTTACACTTAATTTGGCATTTTCTGGCATATTTTGGGTAATGGTTTGGCATAAAATGGAAGTTTTTTATCTGGCAACCCTGGCTGGGGGTTTCAAATAACAAAAAGATTGCCTCCCACATGGGGACGACTGTAAAAATATTAATAGCAACATCTGCTGAGAGATATGGATGGACACTTTAAATCCAGCATGGCTCTAGTTTTGCCTCTTTCCACTGAGTTACGTAACAGAAAGCAAGAAGGTAACGTCAGTTCAGTAATAACCCCCAAAGGAAATTTCTAGGCTCCACAATAAAGAAAGATGAAGAGGGTTCAACAGAAGTCAAAAGGAGGATGGGCATTGCTATGCAGGGGCTAGGATCATTGGAAAGGTTACGGGTGGTGAGCATACTTTAGATCTTTTCTCCAGGTCATGCCGGCGTAGTGGGTAATAAACAGGCAGACAGATTAGCTGGATCCGCACCACTGTGTGGTGAATTGATACATTACAAGGCAGATGTGGACAAAGCCCTTTGTGAACAAGCAACGGAATCAGTACAGAGGCACCTGGATATAACCAGAGGGTTTGGCCAGCTGACTTCACTCAGAGGAAAGGCAAGACGGACTTTTAACCAGATTGTGACCGGTACCATCAGCATTGGAACTCTGCGCTGGCTGCTGAAGATGAGGACGGAGCATGCTTAGGAATGCCCCGAGTGCTGTTAGTCAATTCTTGACTCAACTCAAAAAACATTACAAGTCTGATCAAACACCAGCAAGGAAATGAATATCAGTGGTTATGGAACCAAACTCTACTGGACAAGCTTATGTGATCTAATCACCACTTATTCCTTACCAGGGAGCCCATCAGTGGCATAGCAAGGTCAAATGGTACCCAGGGTGGAACATTTTCTATGAAGGAAGTCCCCAATCAGTCGACTCGGACATTCTTGTTTTCCCAATCATGGGGCCCCAGAACCCACATGAAACTGACTCACAAGGTATGTTGAAAAAGGTGGAGAGAGGCATGCCCCAGCAGAGTGGCAAGCATCGTTTCAAAGGTCCAGGTTAGTTAGCATCCTTTGGATATTTGTTCCATGCCATGCTGGTGTGTTTAGAAACGAGCAGGCAGACAGGCTGGCTGGTTCTGCACAACTTGGTGATGACAAGCTGGATGTTGTGATGGTCCCCTGGGAGCAAATGAACAGTGAGGAGCACACATATATCATTACGATCTGAGAAGAATGGCGCTGAGAGAAGTTACAAGGGGATCTGGCCGACGCTCAGCACTCAAGGAAAAGGCGAGACGGATATATAATCAGTTACAGGTTATATTGAAACTGGAACTCTTTGCTTGCAGTTGAAGATGGAGACGGAGCGCCCCAATGTCAATTCTTAATTCAACCATAGTATATATATATATACACACACACACACGATGTGAAGTCAACACAAAAACTAAATGGCAACTTTACTTTTGGAATGTACCCTTAAAGACCAACGTGCTGTTATAGTTTGTGTGTGTGTGTGTGTGTGTGTGTGTGGGGGGGGGGGTGGCAAAACGGCTGCCTGCAAATGACATACATAAGGAAATGCTTCCCGTTTATGTTGACAAATGTTTATCCAGTAAAGCGGTAAAAAAAACTGAGTGAAAAAAAATAATCAAGGACTCTCTATGATTGTTGATAAAATCCGATCTAGTCGTCCTGTTGAGATTGCAACAGACGCATACGTGCAG